CTGTTGTCTATGTTCCCCATCAGTAAAATGGGTACCTGGGTGTTAGTCGACTGGTGTGGGTCGCATCTTGGGACACTGACCTAATTTGCCCGAATTGTACCGAAATGCGGAGCATAACAAGGGACTTTCTATATAGTAGTATGTCATTGTTGTCAGCTAGGACTGTATACCTTGTACATGTACTTGTAGTAAATAAAGATATTATTATTATTAATTATTATTATTATGTAGGCCTATGAGCGCTTTCGCGCTAAATTTGACGGCGATAGAATTTTGGCATAGATCTACGGTTTGGACACTCAACGTGAAGCCGTAGATCTATGGGTCGGACCCTAAAAAGGGTTAATATGGTGCACACTTACCACACAGACCAGTTCTCTTGTAACTAGGCCCAAATTTATTGCTCACAGATTATCTGAGTGAATTGAGCTCATGTAGTACTACAGGACCAACCCGCACTTCAAAGCTGTAGTACAATGGGACCCAACCCAAAAGTGTTAAAAACAAGACAGGAAACCTAAATAACTTGCCCCCAAATACACAAAATAGAAAAGCAGCACGGCTGCCGTCCATTACTGCAATTCTGTTTAACAAACATTCCCATCCAAACTCAAGATGGGAAAGGGGTTTACCCTGATCCTCAAAAGAGGCAATCCAACGAAGTGAATAACCTGCCCTTACTATCTAAAAATCTTCAAAAAATAATACATAAGCGATTTTAAACTCTTACCTAAAAATCCCCTCAACATACTTAACCCCTGCCAGTTTGTGTTTAGGCAAAAAAAAAGTACAAATGATGCAGTTTGTACAAATGCTCAAACTGCTATATGCAGCACTTGAAAAAAATTAATATCCCCTGGGGGCTCTTCACAGACCTATGGGAAGTATTCAATACTGTGGACAACAATATCTTGCACCTTAACCGTTTGAGGGTCCAAGCCATAGATCTACGCCTTGTCCACAGGGTCCAAGAATTTTCAAAAAAAATTTTTTATTTTTTCTTAGGGAAATGGTAGAGAATTTTTTCCAAAGGTAATAAAACAAAAAGTAAAAAATTTGATGGAAAATTGACAAAATTATGCTCTCGTGAATTTTGCTGTGTCGGCAATATTTACGAAATGGCAATTTTTCCGACTTTGACTCCCATTTTCGGTCAATTACATTATTCCAGTTGACCAAATTCTTAACTATTTTGCTAGTATTTACTTCTATTTTATTGGACTGAGCACAAGAACCCCGCCCAGTCAACTTTTTTAACACCGTCAAAAAAAAGTGACCGGATATCGGTAATTTGGCCAATTTAACAAAAAGTTCAAAATACAATGGAAAACCTCTATTACGTAATATTGGTGTCATGAGTAGAGAGACTCTTAGCGATTTTAATGTGTACCTGCACACCAGCACAGTGTGTAAGTACTATATTTAGGTACAGGCACACATAATTATAATTGTCAGAGTACTTTAAAAAATACGCAAAACTTTAAAACACTTAAAATTTTTGGGAAAAGTTTCCAGACATAATAATGGGGGTCACGAAGAATTAAACAAACCGGGTGGGGCGGGGTATTGAAAGACCTTTTGCCGTATAGCAATTTTGCTCATAATCTGGCGTTGCTGTATTAGCGAACCCGTAAAGTGGGGCCCTACTGTACTAATTACTACATAAAACAATGTATAAAATTATACAGCACAGGAAAACTGTAAAAATGAACACTAAATGAAAATTTAACCGAAATACTGTACAGTAAATGAAAATTTAATTGAAATATTGTACAGTAAATGAAAATTTAACTGCCTCTTACCTGTCAGAGGAGAGCTAATGGCATACTGGAAGCAGCAGGTGGAGGAGAGGAGGGGGTATGTTACTGCTTGGAAGGAGAGTCACCTTCTAATATGTCAGGCAACTCTCCTTCTGGTGTCGTTTCTCTTCTTTGTTTCTTTTCACCATTAACACCTTATTCTGGCTCAGTGGTTCTTTGTTTCACTAAAAACCTGTTCAGTAAGGTTTGTTTCAGGTTCCATTTTAACATTTGTCTGAATTGAGACATTGCAGTGTCACTGTACATGTTAGACTGACGGATGGTCACTGCTTGATCTGGATGGTATTTTTCACCAAACTCCTGCACTTCATGCCATTTAGCACACATTTCCTTGACAAATGCAATGGGCACATCATCCCTTCCCCTCCTCTTCCTCTGATAACAGCTCCTCTGCTGCAATCTCATGCTGCTCCTTCTGAAGGTCTACAAGTTATTCTGTGGTGAGTTCAGTTCTATGCTTCTCCACATACTCCTCCACATCATTTTCAGTCACCTCTAGGTCTTCCCCAGGGACACAATATCCTCTACCAGCTCAGGCTCATCTTTAAAGTCTTCAAAATCCCTGGCTGCCACAAAGTCAGGGCACAATTTCTTCCATGCTGACTGCATGGTCCTGGAAGACACATCCCCCAGGCTTTGTCTATAGGCCTCAAGCAGGTGAGGATATTAAAATGGTCTTTCCAGAACTCCCTGAGGGTTAAATTTGTTTCTGAAGTGACTTCAAAATACCTTTCAAAAAGTGCTATGGTGTTAGAAATGACTTGCTGGTCCATGGGCTGGACGAGAAGAGTGGTGTTAACAGGCAAGAACTTCACAGTTATAAAACTGAACTCCTCCAGCAACTCATTTTCCAAGCTTGGAGGGTGGGCAGGAGCATTATCCATAAGTAAAAAGGCCCTGAGTGGCAGTTGTTTTTTAAGTTGCTTTTGTAAAACAGTTAACCACTACTTCTTGTCTAGTTTTAAGTATGGTTACTATGTACTATTATCTTATCTAGTTTTAATTAGTTACGATGTATTTGGATTAGTCTGCCCAAAATGCCTCGGCATGATAGTGGCTATCTTTGTATTTAGCAAGTCAAAATTGTAATTACACATTGTAACTTTTACAAAGAAATAAACTTTACTTTACTAATGAGGTAGTTTTTGATAGTGGAAACAAAGACTTCCTGAACCCACTCAATGGAAAACTGTCTTGTTACCCAAGCTTTTGTGTTAGCCCTCCACTTTACAGCAAATTTACTTTTCATAATGTTGTTGTTCTTAAAAACTCGTGGATTTTCAGAATGATAAGCAAGTAAGGGCTTCAGTTTCAAATCCCCACTTGCATTACCACACAGTAACAGAGTGAGCCTGTCTATCAGTGACTTGTGTCCTGGCACTGACTTTTCCTCTTCAGTTACGTAGGTCCTCTTGGGCATTTTCTTCCAGAAGAGGCCTATTTCATCACAATTAAACACTTGTTGGGAGGAGACACCCTCAGCCTCTACATACTCTTGGAATTCAGAAATATACAGCAGGGCCCAGCTTTACGGCATTCTGCTAATACGTTAATTTCAAATTACCAAAACTTGCTATATGGCTCCCAGTAGTCTTTCTAATATGGCACCCCCCCCCTCCTGGTTTGTTTACTTTCTCCGTGAGCACATCTCTCTATTATGTCTGGAAATTTTCCAAAATTTCAAGTATTTTGAAGTTATTGCATATTTTATATGTACTCTGATACGCCTACCATCCGACTTACGATCGAGCTTGGTTCCGACCAACCAGTCCTAAGTCAAAATGGACGTTAGTTGAACTTTACTACTGAATATCAACATCACATTTTTGAAATGACTTTATTTTATTGTTTTACTTTGGTATTCCATTTTTTACTTTACTTTTATAGCTTATTACTGTAATTTTATACTGCAAAGGTTTAGGATAAACACTTTCAAAACAAAACTTATTATTTCCCAGAATTTCTAAAAACCCCCCCCGCTCGGTTTTTATTCCCCGAGCATTCCTAAGTCGGATTTTTAAAATTAATATTATGTTATTGCATTTAATATTACTACAACGGCCTCCATCGACTTAAATCGAGTTTTTCCACCTGGATCATAAATAAATTCGTTAGTTAATTTTATAATATAAACAACATTTTTAATATTTTATGTTATTTTTTAAATTACCATCCCCTTTTCAGTTTTAACGATTTTAATCCGGTTTGGAAAACCACTTTTAAAACAATTATTTTTCCCAAGAAATTTGGAAATAAAAAACCGGTCAACGACTTCATTCAAAAAATGTTTTAACATGATATAAATAATACACAAAAACTGCCTTACCTTATGAAGATCTTTATTTGATGATAAGGGGGAGTTTTAAAGTTGTTAATGTTAAAAAGGGGAATTTTCCCTTTCCATTAGGAAATTAAGGGATAGCAACGTTTTTTCCGAAATTTCCCCTTCTATTAATTTTCCCCTAGGAAATAAGGGGAAACAAATGTACCGAGCAGCAACAATGAAAAAAAAAATTTTACCAAAAGTATGTTTTCAACACACACACCTTTAGAAACTGTGATGTTGGGGGGAGAAGAGTATGGGTTTTTAGAGAGGGGCCCCTTTCAAAGGACCTTTTGGAGCACGCCCGACCTTGTTTGGCCACAGCAGCTGACCGGGGTTTCAGCAACAGCTGACTTGGGCAGCAACAGTGACAGTGGTCAGCAACAGCTGCCCGGGTGCAGCAAAGCTGCCCTGGTCCCAGCAACAGCTGACTGTGGTGCAGCAACAGCTGAGGTGGTGCAGCAGCAGCGGGGGACCAGTAGACGTGGTAAAATAATTTAAACCCTATTTACCACAAGGTTGGCACTAAAGTTTCCTGGGCCCATGGTGGGCTAAAGCAGTTCACAGCACTATATACTTTGTAACAATTTCATTTAAAACAGGGGACCCTGGCTTTCTTTGCCCATGGGGCTTTTTAGCAGTTACGACATCAGGGATATCAAAATGATGGAATGTAGCAGAAACGCACCGGGTGAAAGCAGCGGGCTGATGTGGTTTGGACAAGTAAATGTTGTCAGAAACAGCTGAGGGTGCAGCAACACTGACCTGGTGCAGCAGCACTGCCCGTGGTGCAACAGCAGCTACCTGGTTCAGCAACAGCTGACTGGTGCAGCAACACCTGACCGGGGGTTAGCAACATGCCCGTGGGAACAGCATCTGACCGGGGTTTCAGAAACAGCGACTGGTGCAGCCGCTGCGTGGTCAGAAACCAGCTGACTGTGGTGAAGCAGCAGCTGACTGGGGTGCAGCAGCAGCTGCCCATGGTGAGCGCAGCTGACTTGGTGCAGCAGCAGCTGACCGTGGTGGCAGAAACAGGGGCAGACTGACCTGGTGCACCCGCAGCTGACCGTGGTGCAGAAAGCAGCTCCCGTGGTGCAGCAGCAGCTGCCCTGGTGCAGCACCAGCTGACGTGGTGCAGCAGCAGCTGACCGTGGTGCAGCAGCAGCTGACCGGGTGCAGCACAGCTGACCGGGGTTTGCAGCGCAGCTGACCGGGGGCACGAAATATGTATTTCCCACCTGTTTTACATATGATCGCTTGAGAGATGGTATCTCCTACTATCTGTTTTTCGTTTATCCACACCAATAACAGTCTTTCAACATCTTCGAGTACTTGCGATCTCTGTTTCGAAAACAAACTTGCACCTTTTGCAAGAATAGCTTCCTTGATTGCTGTTTTGTTGGCCACAATAGTAGCGATGGTTGATTGGGGTTTGGTATACATGTACAACCTGGCCAGCTCCGAGATACTCACTCCACCTTCGTACTTAGCAATTATCTCTTTCTTCATTTCCATAGTAATTTTCAACTTTTTTACCACACGGTTGGCACTAGAAGCTTTCTTGGGGCCCATGGTGACTTATTTTGTGGGTACAATCACTAAAAACGCTGTGATAATATGAAATGTTCCGATTGTATGCGTGGATGTGACCGCACTGGCTGACTTGTGAATGCTGGCACCCACAGGACAACTGAGGCACAGTCAGGCCACACGTGGACGCGTCTCGAACGAATCGCGTTGGGTGAGTTTTTTGGCGTTAGCCAAGGCAAAAATTTTGCGTTAAAATGTATCATTAGCTGGATTTAATGTTAGCTGATGCCATTGTTAGCTGAGGGTCCACTGTATATAATAAACATGCTATGTAACATATAAACATGATACATACACCCACAGTATAAAATTTGACAAATGAGATATGTTTACCAAGCGGTTTGTAGGAGTGTCAGAAGAAATATGTTTTCTCTAGTCAAACACCAGTTCCTGCGGGATAACTGTAGAAAAATATTCCTTTCATATGCCTTCACTCTATCTACAGCTATTCATGACCCTTGTGGGTTTAGCACTTTTTATTACGATTATAATAATAATAATAATAATATCTTCATTCACTCTAAAAATGATGTGCTGCATGAGAATGGGAGTGTTACTGTTTATTTATTCTTCTGTACCACTGTGGAGACAACTTGTACATAATGTAAGGTGTTTGTATGAACGTGTATCAACCATAGCCAGACGTGTTCGCCCATTAGTTTACATCCTCTGAAGCTCTGTCCTCTTACTTGTTCTCTTTCTCTCTCTCTCTTGTAAGCTGAGGTTCCACTGTATATGCATTTTATCACTCGAGGGCACTTTAACCCTTTGAGGGTCGACAGGCCCTCTCCGAGACTCTTTCTCAGGATCGGCCAAATTTAAAAAAAAAAAATTCTCTTACGAAAAGTTAGAGAATCTTTTCCCGATCATAATGACACCAAAAGTTCAAAATTTGATGGAAAACTTACGGAATTATGCTCTCGCGAAGTTACGCATAGGCAATTTTGCCCACTTTGAGCCCCATTTTCGGCCAATTCCGCTGTGCTAGTCGACAAAAAACATGAATATTTCGCTAGAACTCCATTTTTTCTATCGAATGAGTACAAGAAACCACCCATTTATCAATTTCAACTATCCAGTACAATGGTCAGAATTTAGCAATTTTGCAATTTCACACAAATTTTCAAAAGATGCCAATTTCCCAAAAAGGGTCCAGAATAAAAAGAAAGACATTCCTGGCACTAAAATGACATTTCCTCTGTTCATTAGTCACGTCTCAAGGCACCTCTTAATTCTTTTGCTTTCCACTTTGAATTTTTTTCTCACAAAAAAAAGAAGATTTACTGTTATGCAGACTACTGCATTAGTGTAAAAAATGGTATAAATAATATTGGGCACTTGCGATAGAAAATTAAACTCACCAGTTGACGTGTATTTGGGCGCCTGGCATGATTTGTTTACTTTTGAATTTGGTAAAAATTGAACATTTCTGCTACTTTGAGCTCAATTTCAAGGTACTTTTCAAATTTTAAACCAGTCAAAATCATCTCAATTTCTGTAATATGTCTTCCCTTCTATAAAATGAGACCAAGAAAACTAGAAAACACAAAAAACACCATACAAAATACAGTGCAAAGTCGCTGTTTTATTCCAAAAAAACGGTCAAAAAATTTTTTTTCTCATTATGCACTGGTGCTGCAGGATTTTTTTTATACGTGCACACTGACCACTAGACCCATTCTTTCATATGTAGGCCCCCTTTCCCCTTTTACCCCAATTTGAGGGTCTTGAAATTTTTCTGTAAGCCCAAAAACCCGGCCGAACCCTCAAAGGGAAACCTAAAGGGTTCCCGGGGCCTCCCAATCTACCTTTACTTCATCAAAACCTAACTCCCTACTTTAGCCACTTAAAACTTGATTATTTTGGGTAATATGAGGTACTTATTTTTTAAACCCCAAAAAAACCGAGCAATGGGAAAAAGAAAAAAAATTAATTCATATTTTTGGAAGCCCTTTACATTTTTATTAAAATTACCCCCCTTTTTGGCTCTTTATTAAGACTCATTCGGTGAAGTTTTTGTTTTCATAAATGCTTGAAAACCCAAAAGCAGAAAAGTTAATTTTCCTTTTTATAACACATCCATCAAAAACACGCAGCTGGTGGGGGGGGGGGGGGGGGGGGGGGGGGGGGGGGGGGGGGGGGAAAAAAAAGGTGAAAACCCAAAACTCAAACAAAAATTTTTTTCCAAATTTCCTACTTTTTCCCCTCCCCCCCTTGAAATTAAAATTTTGAATATTTGTTTTGCCCAAAATTCCAATTCCAAACACTTATTTAATTAAAAGACTGGCAATTTTTGGCCAATCTGAAAATTAACTATAAACTAAAATTTTTTGATTAAAATAATTGCCTAAAATGGGACAAATCCCAAATCCCCAAGTCCTTTTCGCTACACATCAAAATTCCAAGCAAATTCGTCAACTTCACCAAAACTATTTTTGTTTTTCCTTCAAAAAGATTCTCTGATTCCCCAAAAAAAAATTCAATTTTAATTTTCAACTTGTACCTCAATTTGGCCTTCCCGAAAGGGTTTAAATTTCGTGAATTTCCCCCTTTTCCCTACCTCACCCTCATTTTTAAATAAATCTTTCCCCTCACCCTAAATTTTACCTTAAACCTTACTTTTATAATAATATGTAATTTTTTCTTTAAACCTGGGCCAAAAACCCCCCAACGGTTCCAAAAAAAACTTCATCACACACTTACCTCCCATTGTGCTTTCATCTTTAACTAACATAACCACCCTCCCAAGGCAACCTGTACTTCCCTCACCCCAACTAATTTGCCAGTTTACCAATCCCTTCTTAATGTAATTTTTACCCAAAAGCATTTTTCATAAAACCTTTTCCACCCCTAAACAAATAATGGCGGTGGGTGAAGTCCAGACCCCTCCCAATAAACCTCCTTTTCCCTCTAATTTTAAAATGACCCCAGGTTGTACCCGGTTTATTACTTTAATTTTTTTTTCCATTTCTTACTTCCAAAAAGTTTTTAAAATTCTCGCCCCTTAATGGTTTAAATTGAAATTAATTCATTCTCAAATTTTTGCAATATAAACCAACCTTTCCCTAAAGGGCTCTCCACTGCTCCCGCCTTCCCTCCCACTTCCACATGTCCATTCCTTTCAAAATTGGGAAAACAACTTCCTATTTTTTTGTTTCAAACAAGTTTTTTTTCCCGATCCTAATGCAACCTCACCTTTTCCCATCATCTTGACACCCACTTATGACCATTGTTTTACCACCAAATTGTCACATCCCAAAAATTTTCCTTTCCTAATCCCAAATTTTTCGTCGCATATATTTTTTTCTCATACCTACCTCCTAAAATTCACTTTTATTTTTTCCAAAATATTTTCAAATTCATCCACCCTTTAACATTTCTTCAATCTAAAACACCTTCAAACAAAGGCCTTTTACAACCTCCTTTTGTTTATTCTTTTCCTTTTTCCCAATCTCCCAAATCAAATTCCAACAAAACCCAATATAAAAAATGGGCCAAAAACACTAAGTGCAAGAGGTGGTTTTTATGGAAATGTTGGATGCGAATGAATTTCCCCATTGAATAAACCCCAATTAAACCGTTAAAAACCCAAAAATTTTAAAAAAAAATTTAAAAAAAATTTAATGAAATTAATCCAAATTTAGGGGATTGCCAATTCCTACACATAATTTTTTATTAGACGGGAGATTGGGGTGAGGAAAATTGTGTTAAAACCCTCCATTAAATTTATTTTGGGCCTTTTTGGGGTTTTTTCACCTTTTCCTTTTTTCCCCTGGAAAGTTAGAGTATGGAAATTTCGACAATATAAACTGTCCCTAATTGTGATCTGTTTTTAGAATTCCCCAAGTTTTCCAAAACCCTGAAAAGTCCCCAACCCTTTAAACGTTAAAGGGGGAAACTCCAAAGCATTAACCACTTTACATTAGTTAACTTTTATGGCACTTTCTTAATTTCCCTTCTTTACCCTTTCCTCAAGTCGGCCTCCTTTTGAATTTAAAAGGTCTCATGATTTCATTGGTTTTTACACCCAAATTTACCATTTAAAAAAAAACCCTTAGGTGAATTTAGCGTTATGTGATGCGTTCATTAGGCGAGGGTCCACTGTATATGAAGAATTTTGAACCCCTAAACTGTCCAAACATAGATCTGCATTCTCTCGCCCAAGGCTCCGATTTAAAAAAAAAAAAAAAAATTTAATTAAAGAGGGCAATTTTCTATGTATACAGGTCGGTCATCACTAATCTGGCATCACTGGGACCTGTAGTGTGCCGGATTAGTGAGTTTGCCAGATTACAGAATGGTTAGGTTACAATACCCTTAATCAACCTATCAATAGACTCTGTCTGCTACATCTTCCTCATTTTCATCACTGCTTTCTCCTCCACTGGCTTGC